CAAGTGTGTAACAAGTCTGTGTGTAAATCTAGTAGCTGTGTCAGAATATACTAGGTCAGCGTAAAATCCTTTACATGAGCCAAAGACCCTCCACGACAGTCATAAAATCCGATGTCAGTCCTAAAGGCCTATATTAAAATCAATAAGCAGTGGTTTATGGTTTAAGAGAAACAACAGGCTTCAGTCAGTAGGTCTTCAGTAAACGGCACGCCATAACCATTCACCTCCTCCGATGCTCTCAACTACCTGCGCTCAAGAAGTTTATAGTTCTTCTTAGCTGGTCTTGACAGCATGTCTATAATGATACCCAACAAATGCCCCCACGCATCTTGCCGGATATTTTCCGATCGACGTGTGTGAGCATTATTTTTATCATGTATAGTAATTGTACTCTCTTTAAACGGACTTTAAACGATGTCAGGAGTATAGGCTCTAGAAGGTGGCTGGAACGCCAAGATCCTTTTTGTCATCAGCTCTCAAAAGGGACTGTTCATCGGAAACTTATTAAGGCGGTCCATCTCTCTTGTCGGAACTACTCGTTCAGAGTTTAAGGACAGCGCGCATGCGAACTTTAATATTTGAGTCGATCAGCTGCTAAGTCTGTTCAAGTCTCTTAAATTGTGCGCCAATTCGCGGAAAAGCTTATAGTTCTCCCGATTTTAATCTCATTGGCAAACATCGTGGCGTGGCATCCTAAGAGTTCGACACAATCGTTGATGTACATTGGAAACAGCAAAGATTCAAGGGATGAGTCCGGAGTTGCGCCTACAACGGGAGTAAAGACTGACTTTGATACACCAATGCACACTGAATGTGGCACCTGTGTGGGTAATTCTGCGGTCGACGCTAGTAGTTTACAGATTTCTCTAGTTTGAAAAGTTTTTAGTTTAATGCTTACGTGGAACATCATCGGAAGCCTTCTTAAAATCCGTATGTTTTATTTTAAGCATGCCTTTTTTCTCAAAGAACAAGATTTGAAGCATTTTGTCCCCGGTACGAAGCTGAAGTAGGCAAGAAGGGCAGGATTTATTGGTACCAAAAAATTTCGCGACGCCTCTTCAGCTGCGTCTTGTCGCTTCATAAGAGAGATAACCAGTGAGAAGAATACAACAGATTTGAATTCATGCGGAAAATGAATACAGAAACAGCAAAGTCAGGATTATGGGCAAAGCTGGCTAATCGATAAAGTTAGTAACTCAAACACCGTAGGGGAAGAAAGTGAAAAAGGGGAACGTTAAAGAGCAAAAAAGAGAGGGAAATCATGGAGCTAGAGGCTACCATGGCAATGTTAGGTTAACAACGTGTTCCATTTGTTTACCTGAAGGCGGCCTACATACGACGAGTGAAATCAGATCTTTGTAAACAATTGGAACACGTGGTTAACCTAACATTGTTATGGTAGCCTCTAGCTCCATGATTTCCCTCTCTTTTTTGCTCTTTAACGTTCCCCTTTTTCACTTTCTTCCCCTACGGTGTTTGAGTTACTAACTTTATCGATTAGCCAGCTTTGCCAAAAACCCTGACCTTGCTGTTTCTGTATTCATTTTCTGCACGAATTCAAATCTGTTGTATTCTTCTCACTGGTTATCTCTCCTATGAAGCGACAAGACGCAGCTGAAGAGGCGTCGCGAAATTTTTTGGTACCAATAAATCCTGCCCTTCTTGCCTACTTCAGCAAAGAACAAGAGTTAACTACTCAGTCTAACGAAGGTAATTGGAAGTTTAAATACGGTGTCTTCTGCATCATCTTTGTTGTTCTCAGAGTAAATCAATTTCATCGAGGGAATTAACGGCAGGCTTCTCAAATGAACTGCCCTTTATTGTGCAGTTGATGTAGTTTAGGCTGACGGAGCGAGTAATAACGATGCTGGCTCGAGGACAAACATTTCGAAATAGTTTTATTTTTGTTATTATAAGATGCAAGTGGAAAATGCGCTTTTGTAGTTTGCAAAATTCCTTGGTATAGAATCCAGAGCCGATGGCCTCGTATCTTTTAGCCTCTGAAGCTCCCTTTCCAAGGCAGCAATTTGTAGGCTACATCTTTGAGTCCCTCGCTCATGCTATCAGCAGGAAAACTGAGGATGCTGAATATCGTCTTCCTAAACAGCATGGAAAAATCAAATATCCCACGTATTAAGCTTTTTGACATTCGTAGCCATTTGTTTGCCATCGTCATAAAATTAAATACGCAGCGTGTATCGAAGCAACAGTATGGTAATACATGGTTGACTGGATTTTGGATAATAAAAATTTTTGGTAGCATTGGGGTGATTCAAGACCGATGATTCGCAAGAGTGCCTCAAGACTTAGCTGGGTCTTTTCCTTTATTAAGGAATACGGTCCCGGTCTGCACATGGCAGCTTCATAGGTGGAGCTGGAAAGGGACTGTGTGGGGCCGGAGCCCCCTCTGGATTGAAACATTTTGAAGAGTATTTGTATCGAAAGTTTAGTTTCAAACGCACCACTCATTGTACCTTCTTTGGCATGAAAAGGAGCTAATTTATCAACAGTGGCTTATAAATTATGGAAGAAGCATTCGTTTACGCCCACGCGTCGCGGATAATATCGTGTGTCAACCAATGCTGTTTTCATGTTATAACGACGCTACTACCAACATTTAAGTAATATATGTTTATGTAATTTATGAAGCTTGGACCACGTCACACACCGCTGTTCGCATTCACCACGATGCCTGTAGACCCAACAATTTTCCTTCTTTTCCCGTATCTTAAGTGTGCCTCAACTGTCCCCTGTATTTGATCACCAAAGCAAGTTAATGTGACTCTAAAATCTGTTAACGCATGACATTCTGTGTTCATCTGTACAGTTTTTGCTATTCCCCTCGCATTTCTTTCATGTTACTTCCTTTCCATTTCCTCCATATATATCCTCTGCATGTAACCAATAGGGATTTCAAAGGTACACACATACGTTCCCTGAAATATACTGATACTGATACTAACTGCCTTATTTAATTTATGTATCTTATTCTAATTGTTTTGGTATTTACTTACCAGCCAGATCAAGTAGTTGGCTTGTATGTCTATGTATGTACTATTTATCCTTGGTGTTATGCTTTGGCAAATTGTTTATCGTTTTTACTCAATATCCAAGGGAATCGTGAAGCGTAATTACTGTGGCTTTCACCGACTCATCATAAACAAGCGCTTACGCGCCAGGCAGAGGCATATTATGAAGCCACTGAAGAGCCTGAGTCTGAGGTTCCCTAAACGTCGACAGCAGTTGGCAATCATTCCTCCGAACGGAAAATGCCTATACTGAGCTCTGAAACTTCCGCCGGTAGATATTTTGTGTGTACGCCTCGGAGGACTCACCATACAGGTTGATATTC